GAGGCTGCGGTGGCCGGGAGCGGCCACTGCACTCCAGTCTGGGCGACAGAGTGATACTCCGACTCAAAAAAAAAAAAATAACCATCCTAGGCCAGCCGCAACAGGCACCGTGACAGAGGCTGACAGTATGCTGTAGGACCTGGGTGGGAACACAAGAATTGCAACCAAGGAGGTGGGATTTGAACTGCCCTCAAAGAACAGATAGCATTTCATTGAATAAGTGGATATTGACCAGGCGCGGTGGCTCACACCTGTAATCCCAGCAAGTTGGGAGGCCGAGGCAGGAGGATTGCGTGAGCCCAGGAGTTCAAGACCAGCCTGGGCAACTCAGCAGACTGTGTCTCCACAAAAATAAAAAGAAAACGTTAGCCAGGCTTGGCCTGTCCTGTCAGCTACTCGGGAGGCTGAGATGGGAGGATTGCCTGAGCCTAGGAGGTCGAGGCTGCGGTGAGCCATGATCATGCCACTGCAATCCTGTGTGAGTGACAGAGCAAGACCCTAAATGGCATAAGAAGACCCAGAAACGCAAAGTTTCTGAACATTTGGAAACTATAATGTCAGGGAAATCTTTTTGTGATAGGAATTATACTTAACCAATAATATTGGTTTACCCAGAAATCTTTCCATTGTGTCCTTTCTCTACAAAAGAAAAACTAAACCAAGCATAATGGTTACGTAATCTCAGCACTTTGTGAGGTGGAGGTGAGAGGATTACTTGAGTCCAGGGGTTCCAGACCAGCCTGAGCAACTTGGCAACACCTCGGCTCTACAATAAATCAAAATATTAGTCAGTTGTGGTGACATGCGCCTGTGGTCCCAGCTACTTGAAAGGCTGAGGCAAAAGAATCGCCTGAGACCAGCAGGCCAAGGCTGTAGCAGTGGTGAGAGTGGCACTGCACTCCAGCCTGGGCGACAGAGTGAGCCTCTGGGAAAAAAAAGAAAGAAAAACTAGGTGACAAGTTAGGAACTTTTTTTTCTAATATTTAATTCCTAAAGGTTTCCATTTGGGATATTCTTTTTTCTTTTTGTTTTTAATTACACATGTGACAGGCTTTCTATTTTGAGTGTCTTGAAAGTTCAATATTTCTGGGAGATAATTAGGATGGAAAATTAATTTTTTACCAAGCTCAGTGAATGTGTTTCACATACCAGCTGCTTTCGCCGCAGGTGAAGGCCAAGGCCTCCATTCCTGCTGGGCTCCCCTTCCCAGCAAGTACAGTGTCCGTGAGAGCTTGGCTTTGCTGGGAGCAGGTGGGCAGAGCCAGAGCTCATCATTTCTGGGATCCACAGGGTTATTGTCTCTCAAGTCGATTTGGAATGAGAGAGTTTGGCCTCAATTTTTCTGTTGAAGATGGATTCTGTTGAAGAATGGAACAAGGCCAGGTGCAGTGACTCATGCTTGTAATCCCAGCACTTTGGGAGGCAGAGTCAAGAGGATTGCCTGAGTCCAGGAGTTCGAGACCAGCCTGAGCAACTTGACAAGATCTCGACTCTACAATAAATTAGCTACAAAAAATTAGCCAGGTATGGTGGCATGTGCCTGTAGTTCTAGCTACTTGGAAGACTGAGGTGGAAGGATCACCCAAGCCCAGCAGGTTATGGTTGTGGTGGCCGTGAGCATGCCACTGCACTCCAGCCTGGGTGACAGAGTGAGACACCTACTCAAAAAAAAAAAAAGGACTGGGCGTGGTGGCTCACGCCTATAATCCCAGCATTTTGGGAGACCCAGGTGAGAGGATTGCCTGATTCACGGCTTCAAGACCAGCATAGGCAACTTGGTGAAACCTCATCTCTACAATAAATAATTAGCTGGGCATGGTGAGCATGCCTGTAGTTTCAGCTACTTGGAAGGCAGAGGTGGAAGGATCACCTGAGCCCAGCAGGTCGAGGCTGTGGTGGCCATGAGCGTGCCGCTGCACTCCAGCCTGGGTGAGAGTTAGATGCCTACTCAAAAAAAAGGAGAGGGGGCGGGCACGGTGGCTTTGGGAGGCCGAGGTGAGAAGATTGCCTGAGCCCGCGGGTTCGAGGCCCGCCTGGGCAACTTGGCGAGACCTCGTCTCAACAATAAATCAAAAAATTAGCCAGGCGTGGTGGCGCACGCTGTGGTTCCAGCTACTTGAAAGGCTGAGGTGGAAGACTCGCCTGAGCTCAGTAGGTTGAGGATGCAGTGGCCGAGAGCATGCCACTGTACTCCAACCTGGGCAACAGAGTGAGATGCCTTCTCAAAAAAAGAAAAAAGGAGCAAAACTTTCACTGAAACTAAGACATGGAGTAGTGGGAACAGCTGGACCTGAGTTTCAGTTCTAGCTCTGACATGAACTGCATGTATGACATTAAACGAGATTGTTTTTTCTTCTTTTTTTTTTTTTATTTGAGTTGGTGAAGTTAACTTGCCACTTCCACCTCCCACTTTGCAGGGGAGGGGAGTTTCACACTTCACACCTCACCTTAGGGCCTCAAGGATAGAACTGTAAAATTGTAAGAAGCTCTGTCACCTAGGCTAGAGTACAGTGACAGGCCCTTGGCCACCGCGGCCTCGACCTGCTGTGCTTAGGCGATCTTCCAAGTCAACGCCACGTGACTCAATTTGCTCAACTCAAAAAAGAAGAAAAAGAAACAATCTTGTTTAATGTCATACATGCAGTTTGTGACAGAGCTCGAGGGCAGAATTGCAAGCAGCCACTATGCTCGTCCAAGACTCCAATCCCTATATCTATCTAAAAGCAAAAACTTTTTGCCTCATATTTTTCTTGCCATTCCTAGAATCATATTTTCTAGAAAAAGAAGGACTCTTCGAGATCATTTTTGCAACACCTTTGAGAGCAATTGATGCCCAAAGTCACACAAAGAGCCTGGGACAAACCAGGCCCCCAAATCAGGACTCTCGACTTGTGGGCTTACAAGTCTTCCTAAAGGAACAAGTGCTTTGTTGGTCTTCAACTCTGCTTATAAAACATAAAGAACCTTGGTTTGCTTTTTTGGTTCTGTTTTGTTTTGTTAGAGTCTCCCTCTGTTGCCCAGACTGGAGTACAATGGCACGATCACAACTCACTGCAGCCTCGACCTCCTAGGCCCAGGCAATCCTCTGACCTCAACTTCCTGAGTAGCTGGGACTACAGACATAAGCCACCACGCCTGACTGATTTTTACAATTTTTTGTAGAGACAAGGTTTTATATTGCCCAGGCTGGTCTCGAACTCCTGGACTCAAGTAATCCTCGCATCGTGGCCTCCCAAAGTGCTGGGATTACAGGCATGAGCCACTGCACCCGGCACCTTGGTGTGTTTTAAATAAATATGTGTATATTGTGACCCCAGGAGAGAGGGGCTGATTTATATTGAAGTCATTTTTTATTTTTAAATTTTTTTTGAGTTCAGAGTCTCATTCTGTCGCTTAGGCTGGAGTGCAGTGACATGCTCACAGCCACCGCAGCCTCGACCTGCTAGGCTTAGGTGATCCTTCCGTCCAGCCTTCCAAGTAGCTGGAACCACAGGTGAGCACCACCACATTTATTATAGAGATGAGGTCTTGCCAACTTGCCCAGGCTGGTCTTGAACCCCTGGACTCAGGCAATCTTCTCGTCTCCACCTCCCAAAGTGCTGGTATTACAGGCGTGAACCACTACGCCCAGCTTAAAGTTATTTTTAAATACTATTAGCAGATATTGCTATGTGACATTTAGCACAATGAGGCTCCAAAAGTTTTTATAAATCAAAAAAATAAACAAAGAAGGGAAAGAAGAAAATATTGTAGACATGTGTATAAGTTCAGGGGAAGAGTTTGGGGGGGGTGTGAGTGGGTAAGGAGGAAAAATTTGATTTCTTGCAAAAGCCATTTTTCTTTTTCTTTTTTTTAATTAAAAAAATGTAGCCAGGCTCAGTGGCTCAGCCTGTAATCCCTCACCTTTGGGAGGCTGAGGTGAGTGAATTGCCTGAGACCGCGGGTTCGAGACCCGCCTGGGC